CACACACACACATAAACAGAGCGCATGCACTCACACAGAGGAACCTACACACACACACTTCCTGCCTCTGAGGAAACCCAAAACCTTGAGTTTTGTGCAGCTGCAGCCCCCCCCCCCACACACACACACACACACACCCTGAAACTGAACTGAACATCTTGATTCACACATACATTAATTCTATAGCTCCAACTTTTTTTATTCGCAAATTTACAGCTCAAAATCAGATTTCACTCATGTAGAATCATATTCACTTGCAACGTTTTTAACGTGTGACGTGTATCCTTCAAATACAAAAAGTCARAGAAAACCTTTATATTTAAGAAACTCGACAAAATACACAGGATTTTACACATTTTGTCACATAACTCACAGATTTTCCTTTGAAATTGGCTCAGCCAAAGTGAAACAGGAAGTGACATCAAAGGGGAACTCATTAAGAAAAGGAACTCTCTGGTCTTTGTTTAACAAAACAATATTATTTGAACTCTAACTCTTCTTCATCTCTCTGATGATGACTTGATATAATGTAAAGAAACATCAATTTTTTCTCTACAGTTTGTGTTATTAGTTATGGTAGCAATGTTCTGCTCACATGCAGACTTTCCCCTTTGACATCACTTCCTGTTACTTCACATGTGAATATCTCAAGAACGATTCWTCTCAGCGGCGTGAAATTTGCTTCGCAACACACTAATAATGTTGTCTTTCCAAAAACACATTCATATTTATTACATAAATTTGATGTCACAGGCACTTTAATTATCTTATGATGGAGGTTGATAATTGTCTGCAAGGTTGTCTGGAATTGTCTCTAATGGAGCCTCTTTGCTTTTTACTCTTTTGCAGCTGTAATCGTGGTTGGAGCAGGGAGTAAACTTTGGGAGGTGCCCACAAGTCTTTTCTCTTCATCCTCCAATATGAGCGAGAGCCTGCAGTGGGACCACTGCCACTATCATCACCTGAAGGACAGAGTGAGAATCACAGCAGACATCCCCCCCAGTTTGGACGGCACCTGGGTGTCCACAAGGTACATACAGGAGCAGTGACCTTACAGCTTAGATAAATATTAAACTAATACATTCATTAGACCAGGGGTTCTCAAGCCATTTGGGTCTGGGGACCCCTTACAAGGGCGAAAAAATTCCAGCGACCCCCTCATAAGCCCCATGTTGTTTTAAAAGATCATTTATTGTCATTTCAACCCCTAAATGCCACGGGAATATATATTATTAAGTTTATTATGTTTGTTTTATTAGTTCATTGTTCTCCATGCATTTCTAAAAATAAAAACCCAAGATACCTCTTGCTGACCCCTGGGGGTCCTAGGACCCTTGAGAACCTCTGCATTAGCGGGTTATTTGTATGAACCATGTTGTTTTATATACCACTGTACAAAATGCTAGTTGCTCCTGWGCTGATTTGTGCTACTTAGGTAGAACATTTTAAGACACTATATAGGTGGGAAAGCAGAATCTTTTAACAAAACCATAACTATTAAAAGTGACAAAAAATAAATTCTGTGAGATGGTAAATGACAATAAAATGGCTAATATTGCCCAATTAGAGGTTGCAAGCATTCACAAACAGATAAAAACACCACAAAATGACAGAAATTAATGACACGTGGATTAATAATAACTATAAGCAAAAAATATATGTGTACATACAGATGCTAAAAGACAAAAAGAAGTTTTCTGCAAAAGTGCGGCACCATAAAAATCGGCATTAGAGACTTCAATCTTCTGCCACTGGACATGCTAAAATTAATGATTAGTAACTCAAAGAGGAGCAAGACATAAAACAACCATACAGCATGAAAGCATGATTTGCCTTTTTTCTTTCACTCTGACTTTCTCGGTACATTCTAGTCACGTTCTTTACTCGTGATTGTTGAGTTAAATGTAACGGTGTTTGAAGGGAAAGCTTAAGTAAAAACTTAAAAAATCTCTTAAACATTTAGTTTYGTTCAGAAAGACTTGGGAGTTGCTCTAACAGATGTGAGACTGTGTACCTTCTGTACACTAATGATGATRTTAAACCCTCTTGTATTTTTTGTAGATGTGAAGTTCGGCCCGGTCCAGAGTTCCTCACCAGGTTCTACACCTTTTACCCCAACCGTCACTTCCAGGCGCTGCAGCACTACTACACTGACAGCAACTGTGAGGACCCGGCCTACTCCCTGATGATCAGAGGCAAAATCCGTTTGAGCCAGGCCTCCTGGATCACCCCCGGGGGCACCGAGGCCGAACACCACCTCAGCAGAGTGCGCATGGTGGTCCACAGCCTGGCGGCCAAGAAGAAGCTGGCCTCCAGGCTGCCTCCGGCCTGCGTGACTCTGAGCCTGGGTCGAGCTGTGCCGGGGAAGCTTTACGAGCTGTACAACACCCGAGCAGGGAGGGCGTGCCTGTCGGCCATGGGTTTCTCCATGATGGAGATGGGYCTGGTGCGAGTGGAGACGCAGCATCGCAGCCACGGAGGGAAGGTCCAGGAGCTGTTCTTGGGGGATATTCCCACRGACTGGTCTCAGAGAGGCCATCACAGACCCACAGGGTACCAGCAGCCTCTGCAGAACGCCATGGTGAGATTCACAAATCAGATTTTCTTTGAAAGTCAAAACAGTCAAGAAAAGCATTTTTACAACCCAATTTTTTTTAAAGGGATCCCTGATTAGTTGTAACACTAGACTTTATTTGATAAAAATGTATTTTAACTGTAAAATAAAGACTAGAAAAATACTGTAGGATGTTTAGTTTAGTAATTT